CACAATGACAAAGCTCTTTTATATTACAGTATAGGTACAACAATAAATTGACATGACTTATTTAAAATATCACTATGTTATATGAATATTCAAATTATTTGTATGGAATTTTTTTTATTTTACTTTAAATCTGACCAACAAATAAACAAACTACAAAGTCATCCCACCCAAGGAACTGCATACTGGACGGTCCCAGGGAGATGATGCGGCTAGCGAGCCCCTCCCCTTCCACCAGTGGAGGAGGCGTGGTCAGTTTCTGTGGTTTGACCAGACGACACGTGATGCGTGTCGGCGCGGCGCAGGTACGAGGAGGAATGATGACCCTGAGGCCGTGGTGTCTGCTGCCTCGCATGGAGCCTCCTCGAGCATCCACCATGAAACTCACCAGGAAGCTGAGGGTCACACGGGGTCATAATTTTAATTACAAGTACACATGAGACAGGAAGGTAGAATTTAAGAAACACGCTGGGTTTTCCTGAGATAAGTTCTTCCCCCTGAATGAGACACAAAATGATCAGTAATTCGTGTATTGTTAGCAGCAGTGTTTTGACTTGATCTGTTCTCTCTCTGTTTATGATTGATGGCAGAGTGTGTGTGTGTGTGTGTGTGTGTGTGTGTGTGTGTGTGCTGACTCACTGTGCTTTGAATAAATGATGACGAAGCACTGCAGCGTGATGTGAAATAAATTCACATCACGCTGGATTAACCTTACGGAGCTTGTCGTTAACGACTTAATTACAGATGTTTTATGCATCAACAGAATAAACACAGAAACAGCAAAGGGAAAAAACAGTTCCTCAACATCCATCATCGATATATTTCCTAACTTATAACATACAACCTGGAATAAATTGAATACAATCATTCCTGTAACGAGAGTAGATGTTTAGGTTTTGACAAAACTGCAGAAAAGGGAATAGATGAATTGAAGATATATAGTTTGGTATCGGTCACATATGTTTTGACGAGTCTCTGAAATCTTGTCTTTATGATAAGACATACAGCCTCAATATATAACACAAAACTATTTTAGAAAATAGGTGTAGATGGTGAATATCCCCCTGTACGTTTGAAGGTCTTCTGCACAATGAGATCAAGGTTGAGGATTAACATTAGCTAAATGTTTTATTAGCTCACCCCGTGTGAATAGGGCTGGCCACAGGGCTGACATTGTCTGAGGTCTCTGTAGCGGGACTGCTCGGGATGAGAGAGTCGTCATCATACTCCTTGGGCAGCGGGATGGGAGTGTGCTGAGGTCAGAGAGGGAGGAAATAAAAAGACAGGCAAAAAATATTTGAGAGGTGGTAAAATAACCGTGAAGAAGAAGATTAAGACAGAGAATAGCGGGAGGGAAAGACAGAACAGACATTGAGAAAAGGAGGGAGAGAAAAGATACAGCATGATGGACAGAAGCAATAAGATAATAGATTTAAGATATATGTAATGTACATAATGTAATGTCAGGTTAAACCTACCTGATCCAACAGAACCGTCTCTGGGGACACACAAGGGATTCTGGGTATAGCAGGAGAATACGGCCTGTGGCAGAGGAAGAGAGGATAATGTAAGACAAGAGAAATGGATGGTTTTAATTCTGTAATAGAATTTCTAATAACACTATTGTATCTCATGCTGCCGCTTCCATTAAATGATAAATTATGTATGTCATTCAACAACTCGAATAAAGACATTTTATCATATTTATTCTGTTATTCTTCCACTTGTTCATGCATATTATATATCATCCTGTGCATGGTGACTCACGTGGTGCCCATGCCTCCCTCAAAGTCTCTCAGAGTCTTCTTTGGCGAGAGGAAGTCATCATCCTGGTCCTTGAAGTCATCCAGCTTCAAGTAGCGTGCTCCGTCCATCCCGAGCAACTCGTCTCCTGTGGGCAACATAACGAGTTAAGGAACATGGGAATGGAGGAAAGACGGAAAACGAGGGCTGGTAAAAGAACAGGTCGCAAAGAACACATGACGAATTAAGAGAGAAAAAGGACAAGACCGGCAAAATGATGCTGAGCTCAACCCTCAAGTTCTTCCACTCAGTCGTTAAATGTAAGTATCTTAAACTAATCTGCCAAAAGGATTTATTTTTTCCCCTCAGTGGATTTGATCTCATTTTAGAGGGACAGTATCTTGAACTGCGGCTGACCTCTCAGCAAAAGTAATGTCACTTAATTCAATTGTGCATATGTGGAAGTAGTGACTGATACACCGCCATAGCTCCCATCCCTTCACCTTCATGAAACCACAGAACAATGGTCACAATGTGATTTCAGATAAACAGTTAGTCCAAGCACACCAACAACATCTAGAGCGAATGGAAACCAAAGGAGTGAAAGAAGAAGATTGGTAAAAAAGACAGTGAACATTAAGACAGTTGAGGACACTGCATGGACGGCAAACTGCAACTCATTTTTTTTAGTGAGCATGCCCATTAAAGATGGAATCACATGTGGTGATGGTTGTTTCTGTGTGGGAGAGAACACCTCAATTATTAAAGGATAAAAAAATAAGTTTAAAAACACCTTAAAACAGATGACTGAAGACTGATTAGTACAAGTTGTACAGGTTAATAAGAAATAGTAACACAATTACACAAGTTCAACACAAAGAAAACAGATTCAAAACGAAGCTTTCATGTAAAGATCGTTTCAAATTTTGATTTAATTCTGAATTTCTCGAAAGCAGAAAGACGGCACTATTAACATTAATTGCGTTTTGTTTACAGGAGCATGTCACAGCTGGGTCACAGCGTGTGTGTAATCAGCTTATCGATCAATTAGGCTGTAAAAAGCAGGAGTAACTGCGATGCTGATTTGGAAAGAAGCCGTTTGTCTTTTAAATGCAGAAATACTGGAGCTCTGTCAATAATGAAACATATAACGCTGGTAAAAAAGTGTTGTGACTACATGCTGATGAAAAACAGACACATTTCTTTTAAATAAATCTCTGAGCAGGAGAATAACGGTAGAGAAGACAAAGACAGAGAGGAAAGCAAACAGTGCTGGAGAGCAGACTCAGTGGAACTGAGTCAAAAGACAATTAGTGACGCACAGAGAAAATGAGAAAAAGTACAATTGCAATGACGGCACAGGTTCACTAGCCACCGGACCGAACAAGGTAGAGATACAGACACAATCCTACCTAACGTTAGCTGGGCAACACCTACAAAACAAATGGGAAAGGGCATTATAAACAGTCATATAAATATCTTAATTCATTGAAATGCCAATGTACCTCCCAAACAGTCGTCTACCAAAATCAGAGAGTAAGAGCTGAAAATGAATGACGAAAGCTGTGCAGACAAATCAGATAACCTACCCTCATCCTCTGAAACATCCAAAATCTCATCCACTGTCTCCGGAAAACTCATCCGATGCTTCTCTGTCGTGATCTGTAAAGATCAGAAGCAGTAAAAATAAGATTAAAACTTAAATCTCAAGCAGTAGGTGGAGCTGAACCTGATCAAGACTGAGTCATGGTGTGTCAAGGCTACTTCTTTGCGCACAGGTGTAACCATGTGAACCGCGGATGATGTGTTGCTCACCGCAGAGACAGACTCCTCGGTAACCAGCTTCAGAACGTCAATGACTGAGATGTAACCCAGCCGCTTAGCAATGCCCAGGGGAGACGTCCCATTCTAAACAGAGATGGATGAGAACCATTACAGAATATATTAAAAGGATTTTTAACTATGTTAAAAAATAAAATCGAATACCTTGTCATCCTTTCAATAGAGTATTATCTTGTGTGATGACAACATGGAAATGTGATTTGTCATATATTGTGTGAAAGAAGAGACCAACAAATAGGAATGACCTCAGTTCACTTTGCTTATCTGGTTTCATGATATCTACTGTACTTGTTTATGTTGAGAGGAAGGTCTCACCGAGGTGATCTCATTGGGCTGGGCTCCGTGTTTCAACAACAGGGTGACGATATCGGTGTGGCCTTGCTGAGCTGCCTGGTGTAGAGGGGTGTAGCCCATCTGGAGGAATAAAGATGGAGGTGTTCAGACAAAACAAGACGCAGGGAAAGCACTGATTCAATCTATGGTTCTGGCACCTAACGCTAACACCAGTGCCGTACCCTGCCAGTCTGCTCGTACTGGTGTTTACCGGTGGGTAAACAAACAAGTGAACAAAACCGCGATCATCACAGGGACCACATGGGGAACAGGTCTTCCGTATGTAAATAGTACACGTGAGAAAAGAGATGTGTTACCCTTGTCTTGCTGTTCACTTGAGCCTGCTGCTGCAGGAGGAACTTCACCATCTTGATGTTGCCATAGTGACAGGCCACATGAAGGGGTGTGTAGCCCATCTGAGTGAGAGAGAGAGATAGAGAGAGAGAGAGAGAGAGAGAGAACATGTGAACGCATGAGTAAATTGTAATAAGGAGGCAAATGTCTTTCTAAAGATATTTACACACTCAGTCTATTTGTTGATATACTAAAGATGGTATTTATAGCTATCAATCAATGTAATTAAGAAATGGGTAAATATGATCTCGTGATTAACTTCAGTAATGTGAAATTAATCATCTCAGTGACGTCATCTTCATTTTATTTTATTTTTTTTCACCAGTGGAAATGGTGGCTCTTACCCGTGAAGCAGCGTAAACGGACGCTCCCTGTTTGACCAACGTGTCAGCGATGCCCACGTGACCCTCCTGAGCTACAAGGTGCAGAGGGGTCAGTCCATTCTGAAAGACAGACAGAATCAACAGGAGACGACTACGATGCAAATTATACTGCCAATGCATTTTGATCAATTCTACTCTCGTACCTTGTTTCCCAGATTTACGTTGGCCTGTTTGGAAATGAGCAGAGCCACGATGTCAGGCCGTCCCTCTTGTGACGCCAGGTGCAGGGGCGTGATGCCTTGGAGGGACTCGGAATTGGGTGAAGCTCCGTTCTGCAGCAGACAACTGGCCACCTCCATCTGGTTCTGCTTGGCGGCTATGTGCAGGGGAGTGTAGCCGTTCTGTAGAGAAACAAGGACAAACACACACAGAGTGGGCATCGTCTGTCTGAGCATTCTTCCAGTCTAATTTTAGATTAAAACGTTCATCCTGTTGTGAGAGAGTGTTTCAGAGAACCACGATTGTCACGTAAATGACTGTGTTTAGGTACCACACACTCGTTTTGACCTGATTTGGTATTTGTGTCGGCGATGGATTAGCATGCTGCCTGTGCGGCACATGGGACACACGTATGTGAGCGTCTTACTCGAGCTGTGCTGTGTGCAGATCCTCCCTTGCTGACCAGAAGTCTCACAACATCCAGGTTGTTGTGATGGACGGCCACATGAAGGGGTGCCAGACCATTCTGTTAAACACACATTCAAATACACAGATGTGCACAAATAGAAACCAAAAGACACACACAAACAAGAAAACAACACAGAAACACATTTATATATGAGACACATACCATGATACTCTATTAATCAGCTGACATCCTTGAATCAATGAGGTTGCGCTTTCTGGCTGGATTGATCGTCACAGCCTTGTGAATAGTGCGTCATAGTTTGATGAGAGATCTGAACTAAATCGAGCACAGACTGTCTCACCTTCCCGGCTGCGTTTGGGTTGGCTCCTCTCTCCAGAAGCAGTTCTGCCACGTCTACCTTTCCATACTTGGAGGCCACATGGAGGGGAGTGAAGCCTTTCTGCTCCAAAGAAAGAAACACAGAGAAGGTTACCAAACATCCAACAGCTTTTCTGTACAGTTCTCCTTTCTTTTTACTACTCTTATAAAGTTTAGAGGATGAACCTATACTAGTATTTAACAGCAGGTTTTTTTTTGTCAGATGTAGACCAGTTAAAGCAGAAATACTGTTGAACATGAATCCAGATGCAGCTGATTTTTGAAAATCTGGCTTCTACTCTACCTTCGTCATCTTGATTTGCTGCGCTCCAGCATCCAGCAGTATTCGAATGGTGTGCACGTGTCCTTCACGTGCAGCGATGTGTAAGGGAGTGTGGCCTGCAGTTGTAGCTGAGTCGGGGTTGGAGTTGTGCTCAAGCAGCAGCTTGACAAGCTCCTTGTGGCCCATACGGGCTGCACAGTGTAGAGGCGTCTGATCGTCCTGGACCCAGACAAGAAGGAGGAAGAGGTCAAACATACAGGAAAACTGATATTACTATTAACTAGGTATCGATTGATTTTGTACTTGAATTGTTAAAGTTTCTGACCGTCGTCTAGAAATACTTAATGGTAACAACACATGCAAACATACAAACAGCTTGTTTCGAGTTGTGGTGAATGACGAAAGACTTAACAGTTCATACCTTAGCTCTCGCATCCACCTGCGCTGAATTCTGCAGCAGAAACTGAGCAACTTCACAGTGTCCTGCTCTGGAGGCCATGTGGAGCGGAGTCTCCACTTTCTGGTGTAGGTAAACATATACAACCACACTCAATGAACATAGTAGAATGTCATTTGTATGGTTGTATACTTTTTTATTCATCTATTACTTTATATTTGTGAGATGTTTATTCTACGTTGGAAAGAAAAACACGTTTTTATGTTTGTTTGTCAGTTTTTTTTAACTTTAAGATCAAGTTTAAATATCTTTTTATTTGTAGAAAACAAATTCACCTTGAATCCACTTTGTTCATCCCAGGCCCATGGTTCACATGAGTGTATTAATTTCAGTAATCCAGCCATAATTAGAGATCATTCTGCAATTACATTTTTAATGGCACTGACTTCACGTGGTGGTGAAAAAGAATCTATGGCTAATTGTTTTATTAATGACCCATACGATTAATCTTCTCCTGTAATTAAGTATTTCAATCAGCATGGAATTCAATCTTTCTTAAAAATGTGAAGTGAGAGAGAGGATTTTTTAAAACATCTCAACACGAATAACTCAAACAGTTCATTTGATCAGCTGGCAATATTGGAAATGACTAAATTGTTTAATTTTTGGGACAGCAGGTTCTCACCACATTGGAAGCATTAGGTGAAGCTCCTCTTTGGAGCAGGTTCTTCACGATGTTCAGATGACCCATGAAAGCTGCTACATGAAGAGGAGTGAGACCAGACTGCACAGACACAGACAGAAGAGCATCGCGGCTCAATATGAATCTAATACACAGACCTCAGAGGCCATTCTCTAGTTCTTTAGCCACATCTCACTGACTGGAAGTAAAAAGCTTGAAGACAGCTACTGACATCTGACAAGGGAATGTGGGACTTTGAAAATACAGCAGAGATTTATGAAGCAATGAAAGTTTAGAGTCTTTTTTTCCCTCATTTTCTGACTTGTCTCCTTTGTGGCCACGTCGTCTCACCTCAGTGACAGCTTCTAAAGAGGCAGAGTGCTTCAGCAGCAGGTCCATGGACCGCATGTGGTTCTTCTTGCAAGCAATGTGGAGAGGTGTGAAGCCATTCTGGAAAAACAGGGAAAAAGGTTCAAAACTTCACTGTACATGTGTACGGTCCAGCCGCCTCAGAAGACATGTTCAAATAGAGCATGTAAAGAGTGACTAGAACCACTGCAACGATTTCAACATTTTTCGAGTTTCAAAGTCGCGTAAAATTAACAGTTCGTCACCAGAGCGCGTGAGTTGGCTTTGGCCCCCTTGTCCAGTAGGACTTTGGCCATGCGGTGGTGACCACAGTGGGCTGCTACATGAAGAGGGGTTAAATGGTCCAGCGTGATGTCATCAATCTCTGCGTTGTATTGCAGCAGCTGCCTGACACAATCCATGTGATCCCCCTGAGCTGACATGTGGATGGGGGACAGACCGTTCTGCAGGAGACGGGGAAAAAGTGGAGAGGAGATGGAGATAGATTAAGTCCTGAGCATGAATCATCCAGACTGCAGCTCATTACCAAAAAGATTGAATTTCTCATGTCGGGGAAAGCAGAATCCTTAGAGGGATGATAATCAATCCATGGTTGACAAGAGTTTAAATTAAAGTGCTCGGTTAAGACTTCTTGATTCAAGCTAATTAGCCAAACTTGAAAGGGTATACATTTTTAAACAAGCTAGAAATATGAGATTTAGTCAAAGTCTGTATTTAACTGGAAACTTTAGTGATCTATGCAGATTACGAAGCTTCCAAGGACAGAAATGACTAAAAGACAGCCTCTGTGATTACAGTATTTCATTACAGTTCTCTACCTTGGTTTTAGCCTGGATGGGAGCACCATGTTCCAGCAGGATTTCAATAATGCGGACGTGACCATTCCTGGCTGCACAGTGGAGAGGAGTCAGCTCATCCTTCAAAGAGATGAAGAGGTAGACTCATTGGTCAAGTGATTAACGATATAAGAGACAGAAATGAGAACATTAGCAGGAGGGAGGATAAAGGATGAGGGGGAATAGAGGTGTTGACTATGCATAACTGACTAAACTTTAATCTACCTTTGTTTTGGCATCAATCTGTGCTCCTCTGTCCAGCAGTAGTCTGACCATCATCACGTTTCCCCTCCTGGAAGCTATATGAAGGGGCGTGATGCCATTCTACGGAAGCAGGGGGAAAAATAAGTTAGAGGTATCATTTGTCACCATTTGTGTGTCCAGATTATTTTAAGAAAATACTGTATAATAGAAAAAATTCATGTATAGGCGGGAATACAACTGTAAATATTCCTGTTTTCTCAGTTTCATTTCCCTGCAGCTGAGATGAACTGACCTTGGGTGTGAAGTTTACATTGGCTCCTCTGTTCAGCAGCAGCTGGGCTACGCTCATGTTCTCATAGTGGGCTGCAATATGGAGAGGTGTGAAACCAGTCTACAGAGGAAGAGAGTGTAAAGATTCTATTTATATCACTATTAAAATACAAGGTTAGACATGACGCAGATTACCAGATAATAGAGTTTGGGCACTTTTACTTAGTGTTATTTAATTTCGATGTTGAATTCATTCATAAACACAAAAGCCCAGTTTTATTCCTTCTGCACACTCAACATTTTTCCAAATTTTTCCTTGGTAACTGTGTTATCATGTTAAACCTTTAAACCAGTACAGATAAAAAGTTGGTGAATACCTTGCTGAGTACATCCGCATTGGGATCGTTCTGTAGGAGAACTGCGGCGGTCCGTGTGTCGTCGTTTCGTGCGGCGATGTGCAGTGCAGGGAGGCGGACCTTGCCCTTGGTGCCGTAGTTGATGAGCAGCGCCACAACATTTTCATGGCCCTGCTGGAGGGCGACGGCCAGTGGAGTGAAGCCATCCTGAGACGAGGGAGGATGAGTGAAAGAAATTGAGAAATAGTGGACGAGCAAGAACAGGTTATAAAGAGGAGAGAAAGATAAAGGAATGGTGAAGAGGGAGAGAAAAAGGAGAAGCTGAATAAGAAACATTAAAAACATTAAACACGACATTAACAAAAGACAAATAGGGATTTTTATGCAAAAACTTGCGGTCAGAAAACAATTTAACAAATCATTTCAAAAGCATTTTTTATGCAAAACAAGGAAAGGGGCTCAGAAACCCAGAAATAACTCATGTACCTCGGTCGGAAGACTCTGATTGGCTCCGTTCTCGAGCAGGAACTTGACGACCTCTAAGTGATTCTCCTGCGCTGCCATGTAGAGAGGACTGAACCCTTTCTGCTCGGGCACAAATTCATTATGTAGAGTTTCAAATACACAATTACAACATAATATCTCACAAGCCTTTTGACAACACACACAAACACATCTGCATACATACACAGATTTGAGACTCACCTGACCAGGAGGAATAAATATTTAACTGGTGTTTATCTTTACAACACACGCACAAGTACATAGACTCACCCTTACAGATAATGTATGTAAATATATGGACGACTTTGTAGCAGATGTGTGTTGCTCGTGGTGACTCACGTGAGATTGGGCATTAACGTTGGCACCATAGTTGACGAGCTCAGCCACCACTTTCTCCTGCCCCGCCAGTGCTGCAATATGCAGAGCAGTGTTCCCTTTCTGGAGGTCACACACACACAACACAGAACCACACAAGGTGAGAGAACAATATAGAGTGAATGACAGGAAAACAATAGGAACCTAATGGCCTCAATCTCTACATGTAGAACTTGACTCAGATCTGTGTCTAGTGTGTTGTTTCTGGACATTTTATTTATAGTCATGTTCTTTCTTAGCATTCAGCTCATTTTGAACACTGTTAAACTCCAAAATGTTTAAATGTCCCCATTGTGGGACTAATAAAGGATTATCTTGTCTTATCTTATCTTAGTTTAGCTCATGGACGCTACTTGCAGTTGAACTGAAGCTTAGAAAAGTGCTTCATTCAATTCAGAATGAAATACTTCAGAGAACAAGCACACAGAGAGAACAAAGTACCTTGGTGGTGGCTTCCAGCTGAATGCCAGAATGTAGCAGCTCCAGAACCATTTTGACGTGACCTTCTTTAGAAGCCAGGTGTAACCCGTTGAGACCATTCTTTAAGAGGCAACAGAGGGATTTAGTCACATCGAAACTGAAACATAAGGTTACGATACTCTGAAGTATTGAAATGTTATATGGTGATGAATAAAGTATTTCACAACCTTTCATAACCATCAAAATTTGCTCATTGCCATAGTCTGTGTTTTGCTTTTAACATTTTCTGATGAACATAATCAAAACTCCCAACTTCATATTCCATCTGTTCTGAATGCAACCAAATAACTTGTGGTAACACGCTGTATCTTCCAGTCTCATGCCCACCTGCAACATATGCACATTTTCTCCAGCTGTGCAGAACATCACTCGTCTAGTTACTGTATCTCTAAAAATAATCCACAGCAGAAGGATTCAGTTCTGACAGAATTAACAACCTGTGAGGGGGAAGAGGTTGGCAACTGCTCCATTTCTCAATTTGAGTCTGAGCTGCACAAACCGCCAGCTGTTACCAACCTGGCCACCAGGAGGCTCTATGAACCATTCAAACTACTCTCAGGCTTCCCATGATACTGCAGTGTCACTCAACTCAAATGGGTAACACAGCATCTGCAAGCATGCACGGAGTGATGGGAAACACGATGTGAACATGTGATTTTCAGTTTTCTTTTAAACAGAAAAATACCACCAGGGACAGAGAGAGAGGAACCAACATGAGCCTGCAGTTTTTCAGGTATAGCAAGGACACAGACACCGGATCACATAAATCTCAAATACAAATACCATCTCTGTCCTTGCCTCCGTCCCCCAAAAAACTCATCAATACAACGCTATAGAAAGACAAACAGAAGCAAACAAGAACAAACTGCAGGGAAATTAATCACATGAGAAAATCACATTTGGGAAGTACAACTGGAAGAGACGTATGTGGGTGTGAATACACTGCAGGTATCGTGGGGCATATCAATAATACTTATTTAGATGATTATAATCTTAATACAAAGGTGATAACAACCCTTGAACATTATGCAAAATGTTCTATTTTTGACTCAGCAGTCGTTTGTCCTCCCCTCTCATCTATCACTGTGTGTGTGTGTGTGTGTGTGTGTGTGTGTGTGTGTATAAATAGTGCAACACACACTGAGGGAGACGGGTGTTCATTCTTTATGCCCAGACTTCCTCCTCACCAGCACATTCATTCTTAAACCCACATACTTACAAGGTTAAAGAGTACAAATACAAATACACACACACACACACACCTGACAATGTTGTGTTATAGTCGATGATGCAACTGGATGTAAGAGAGGAGACAGTGAAGCCGCTCAATAAAAGGAACAATATTCTCATTTACTTAATCAGGGTATAAGAAAGAATAAGTGAAAAAAAATGTCTGTCTTTTGTTTTACCTTAGCTTGAGAAGAATACTGTGACATTACCGCACATGGTGTTTTCAAATATTCCTCTAAAAGACTAAACCTGGCACAGTTTCTTCTTTCCCTGTTCAATCAAATTAATTTACTTAAAACCATCCTCCATTCAACCTGATTCATAAGCAGTAAACCAGGCAGGACTGTTTGTTTTGAGTCCCATTCTGTCACAGACATCTTTGCACAAGGTAGAAACTCGGTTGACTTTACAATGAAATTCTTCTGTCTATGTTTATGATTTCTCTCCACAAAGAGAACGAGACACTCATCATCTAAATGAACGATTAGTCCACTCCAACCACACATATTCAGATTCTGTTGAGAATAATCTGATGATGGTTGAGACTTCTAGGTTCTTATGGTCCAGATATACATTATGCCTCTCAAGGTGAAATATTTCACGCTCAGAACAATAGGTAGCCAGAAGGCAATGAGCAAAGGAACCAGTGAAACAAGACAGATTTACTACTACCAATATGCTTCCGCTGGGCACGAGTGAATGAACTGCAGAGTGAGTTCCAGGAAAAGAGCAAATAAAGTGGAAAGAATTTCAGCTCGACTATATTAAAATATGATGTAGACCGGCACCAGTGGAAATCTCTGCAGACTAACATCACTAACTCAAGCAGTAACATTCTCGGCCTTTGGTTCAGCAGCCATCTTTACTGTGAATTGTATTCAAGACTGCTGCGTCCACTTTTAAATTTCTATTTCACTCGGTAAGCTCTCATTTCTTGCAGAGTAGATTTTGACCCCTCAAGAGAACGAGGTAACATCAATGATCTGACAGAAACAGTAAAAACATGTTTATATATCAGAATTCAAAAATCTAGATATGACTGGTACAGACTGATTTCCTCATGACAACAATTGAGATCAAAACAAACTCCAGACTCAAACCGTTCTGCGTGAAACACAACATGGCAATGAATCATGGAAATGGGAGAAGATAGCAGCTGAACCATGGTCCCATTTCAGAATTACATTTAATTCTACAGATATCTCTGGATATGATATGACCCTCGCCAAAATGTAATCTTATCTGTTTTGTTAAATGGAATCTGTGAATGGAATCTTGCTGCCACTGACACAAACATTGATCTCTGGACAGTGAGCTGATTGAATCCATCTTACTTGATTAGACGTGTTGATGTCGAGTCCGTTCTTGATGTGATCCAGAGCCTTGTCGAGGTTCCCCGAACGAGCTGCACGCAGGAAGCTGGTGGATGCATCAGCCTGCAATGGAATAAGAGGAGGAGTGTTAAAAAAGAAAAGAGGCGAACCAGGAATACCATTCCAGATTAATTAATTGCTCTTTAGAAATTCAAAACTAAACATATACACAGCAGCTCCTCCAACATTATCCACAAGTGCTTGATATCAGGATGCACTAAAAGCCACAGTCAGGTTACAAACTGCGTTTTAATCTGTTATAAAATATAACAATCACTTAAAGGCGAGACACAAATAGGAAATACAATACTACATTCCTCTGCTCACCTGCCCTCTGTAAGAGGCTAAAAATGTCAGACCGATTGCAGTTGAGCTTCGCCCACACTCTGCGTTTGGCAGGCCTTCATAGCCGAGCACACTTTGCCACGAGCTCCACTGTCTGCCTGCCTGATCTCAGAGGGAAAGCGCCAGTGGCTGGTGTGTGTGTGTCAGTATTTGTACGCCCACCTCTGAATTCATTCATCAGCCAACAGTGTAATGCAGCTGACCTGCACAATGAGATGCTTCCAATGCCCTGAAGAGAAAAACAAAGCGTAGTGGATACTCCTCTTGACCCAGCCCCTCTCCACCCCTGTCACCGGCAGAACTACGTATGTGTTTGAGCTGTTATTCTCAAGTGGCGTAATTATCCTGAATTGCTGAAAGACACACATGCCCTTTACAAATGACTTCTTTTTCCTCCCGTCAGATCTGTGCTGATGCTGGTGAATGAAGCGTTGCATTAGATTTCATCAAACACACAAACAAGATTTGCCTCCAACAGTCAACAGTCTTATCTCCCCAACTTTGTCCATATGTTTGCCATTTTTCAAGTCCATTCATTCCAATAGTTTTCTCTTCGACTCTCAATTTTACAAATATTTAAAACAAATCAGTCAATTGGTTTTTAGAGCCACTGATAAACCAGGAAAAGAGGATGTGACTTCACCCCTGTCCATTTATGTTAGTTGGCTTGTTAGTTTGTTTGTTTATCAGCAGAATTACATAAAAACTAGTCAATGGATTTCCACCAAACTTGGAGGAAAAACACATTAATCTGTTTTCCAGGGAATAACGTATCAAGCATATTTAGGGGCCTGATAATACACGGGGGTAGGATTTTCCGCCATTGTACGGTAATACGTTTCGCTGCGTATCTGAACAAAGGGGCGGATCCAATAATGACTTTTTATCACTTTCATTGACATTGCGATGTGGGGCCCTTGGTGGAAGTATGTGCTCCACTGACTGCCATTTAAATATTACTTACTATAATAGACCCAAGGCGTCTGAATGCTTCCTAAATCCACTGTAAACTAAAAATATTTGGCTCTGCTTGAAATCCAACAGTCTCCTTTGTTTGATGTGTTTGCGAGCTGTGTTTTTTTGTGCCTCTATTGTTCCATTGCTAAGTGGCTGAGTGACTATGTGATCTATTCCCTATCTCATCTCGTGGCTTTGAACACGAGAGCTATAGACATTACTCAGCATCAGAGAACTGAGGGACAGGACTTCAAACAGCCTCTGACAGGAGCCCCTCCAGATTCACATCCTAAAGTGTTGGTACTGTATGTTTTTAGCTGCTTGTCCCACTATGAATATTTCAAAATGATGAAACTGGCAAATGAAAATGTGCATGAATCCACCATTTCTAATATCACAGTTAACCTTTTGTTTTCTTCTTCTCCACCTGCATCCCTCCCCCTCCTCGTTCCCCAGGACTCCACACCGCCCTGCTCCATGAACCAGATTTCTGTCTGCATCCATCATCTGAAACATGAGCTTGTTAATGAGCCTTTGTGTATATATATTAATTCAAAAACAGCATGAGTCATGATCTCACCATATTTTGCAGAAAATAGAAAAATCTGGTGCCACCACTTTCCACAAACTCATCCTGGTGTTCATGTTGCCGTCAAGCTGGAATCCATTTTCCTCACTACCTTTTACTATTCATCCATACATCACAGATAGTGCCTCAGACCACAGCAGTTTATTTCTACTTTATTTGTGATTATAGGGATAACACACAAAATAATATATATTACTGAGACCCCCTCTCAATGCATGAATCAGTAATGTAGCCTTGCTGCCGTTCACCTGCCTCTAAATCAGATTTTCCTTTACCTACCTGCTCTTTTTCACCTGGTTCACACATTCTACATTATAATTTCACACCTATTCACTCATTACCCTCAGTGGTGATGGTTCTCATTTCTGTCAATCTAACTATACCTGAGAAGTCAATACTGCATATATACAATAAATCAAGAATACAGTCTAGTTTTAACGAGTGAGACCATGTGATGTGATCCCAGGGCCCAATGAAACAGGATGTGTCACACTTTATCAGCCTAAGGTGATGATGAAGAGTTTTATAACATGAGACATGCAGGAGACACCCTGATTGAGCATGATGCCAGTTTTTCAGAAAACCGTTGCGGCCATAAGTGTGTTTTAATCTCAACTTCATGCTTCATAATTTATTCAAACCCATAGATTATGCTGTTTTATGTGAAATGTTAATGATTGAATTTCAGTTTTTAAAATAAATATATGGACAACGTTTATATGTGCACATTCTCAGTGAACTGCCATGAATGCAAAAACTTTACCATAACCATAATATGCCAAGAACAAGATATGGACACACTATACACGACGGCTAAAGTGGCAAATTAGCTATTTATTAAATACAACAACAGACACAATTGTAAAGTTAATGGTCTCAATTGTAAATGAACACTGAGATAACATAAATATCACAGCACAATTTTAACTAGAAAAGAGAAAGTTGAGAGAAGACATACGACAGAAAAAGCACATGAGCGTGACTACAAACTGTTTTCAGGGGCATTAAAAGAAGTAACAGCAACAAGAACCCAGTCTAACTAACTTATTTAAAAGCTGACATCTTTTTGGAGTGCCTTAAGAAACCCTGCAGCAGCTGATGAGGACACAAACAGAGTGCAGAGGAAATAAGTCGAGTGTAAACAAGTGTACCAGAAGCATTTTAACACTGTTTATTAAAGAGCCATATTCCTCAGGCTTGGGTAAACGTCTCAGAGGCCACAAGTCATTCAGCGCTGACCCGCATGAGCCGAGGAGACAACACACACCCGCCGAGACAGCAAGAGCAGACAGTGAATGGCAGAGACATTCACACAGAAGAAAGCAACATGCACACTGGTTTAAATGAGGTTCCTCAAGATCAAATCCTCAAAGGTTTGGTCACACCAGCTTTAAACCAGTCAGTGATTCAGCATCAGTATAACTATTCAGTATAACCCCAGTTTTGACTTGCAGGTCAATATTCTAACACTCATGGCTTTGATATCTTATGACATGTACATGAGCCTATGCACCAAGTGATAGCTTTACTCACATGTGTAAGGTCTGGTTACACGCCAGCTCACGAGCTGGGAATACACTGAATGTAAAATTGTGACATGCACACAGTATAGTATAAAATTGTGTGTGTTGTGCAATGGTTTTTACACACACATTCCTGTGTGTTGAAAATCTGATTTGAATATTCTCACAGTTTAACACACATACAACCTCATGCTGAGCCAAAAATAGATTGTTTTTCAAAAAAAAATCGAAGCCAGAAGAGGCCAAGACAAACAAATGGAGCAAGAACAAGTGAAAGTATTTTGATAGAAAACAGTCTCACAAGATGAGTAACACCTCATTCCTGAAAAGGAGAACATTAAAAATAACACATGGAACTGAGTCACACACTTAATATGAGCCATTATATAAACTGCTGCTGCTGCTGCTGCTGCTGCTGGTGGAAACTTTACATGTATAATGCGAAAGCATCAGGAGACACGTTTAAATGGACACCAATATTTACTGATGTTAACCAAAATAAAACAATAGTCTGAGTAAGGCACTCTGAATAAGCAAATATTAAGAATCGGGAGTATTCCGGCCTTAGTTGCATTAATGACATTATAATGTTTTGGACTTTTCACAGCATTTAGCAAAATTGTCATTTGTCAGTTCCCAACATGCTTGACGACACATGCCCTGGATTTGAGTGTCAGCAAGATTTAATATTAATGTGAGTCATAATCAGAATATGCTCTGCATGTCTGCAACATGGAATATTCTATTAGTGCTGATTTCCTTTCCTCAGGATAGTCGCGTTTGTCTCTCAACCACAAACTCAACTGTTTTCTGTGATAAACAGTCGGGATCTTTGGAGGAGCTGGGATGAGATACAGACATCCTGGTACCACAGAACTCTGCGTGCTGGAGGAGTTTGATGGCTTCCTGTACTGTGGGTCTTCTCTGACAGAAGTCATTGACAGAAAGTTGCTTATGTGTACTTATTTTAGTGACAGCTCCTGTCACTTCTGATTTTGAAAGGAGTCCTTGTGTCACTTCAAGTTGAGACTTCTCATCACGTTTCAACATGCATCTTGTCTCCTTTGCAGTATAACCTGCTACTTCTATACTTTACAAGCACTCACATGGAAAGAGTGTGTTTAAGCTGTTTCATTTATCTGCATTCATATACAGAAATATGTTAACAGAGATAAGCCAAAATGTATCTGGACCTAAAACAACTAGTCAGACTGAGGGTACTTCTTGGCCCAGGTCACTGTCAGAAGTGCCAAGATACTGGCTGTAGCCCCACGAGGCTAATTCCTCATCAGATGATAGTCAATGGGCTCCAAGATTACTAAAGCCAATGTCTAAGTAGTAGTGTTAGGGGTTAGAGTCAGGGTCATCTTCTCTATGGCAAAAAACCACTCGGGATAAAAATGTATATCTGCGTGAACCAATAAATGATATCATGCAGACATTATTTAAAAAAAAAAGAGAATATAAAAACGAGTAGAAATGGGAGGATGGGTGAAAAAGCAATGAAGTGGACAAAGAGAATGAAGTTATCTAAATATCCTGATCCATCTCTACAGGTAGATGGAGAAACTGGACGAAGTAGCAGTGGCTGGAAAATCAAGGACAAGATTTAAAGTGATGCCGGAGTTGAAGCAGCATATTTGGAATAT